ATTTGAACTCAGGATTATCCATGTTCAGCATCTATATGACTGTATTTAATTATGACTATCTATCTATATATAAAGTGCTTGCTTACTATGTGCCAGGCACTTTTGTAGCATTTTATAAATATTAACATTCTTAACCTTGTCAACACTGCAAGGTAGTTAGTATTACCAGCCCATTTTTCAGATGGGTAGCTGTAGCACTGAATGGTCAAGATCACCCCCAGCCCCCCACCCCCACCGCCCTTTTAGGAAGTGGCAGATTCAGGATCCAAACACAGACACCTGGTCCCAGGGCTGTGCCCCTGACCATCATACTTGCTGACTCTCACATCCCTGAGATTAGATTTCCTCCCTGTCATATGTGCCCTTTCCCCCCAGCACCAAGCATAGTGGCTGAAATGCATCCAGTATCCAAGCACCATTTACTGACAGCTCCATGCATAATATGGAGGGTGTGGAGCTGAAGGCCACAGGAGCCCTCCCTGCCCTCCGAGAGAGCCCTGAGTGAGGAGGCAGACCACCCCTCCAGGACTACCGGCAGGGTGGTGGGGTGGGCGAGCTTCTGGGGTGGGGACTTTCAGCGGCTTCACCATGTCCCCAGCAGCTGGCATAGTGCCTGGCCCCAAGGAGGCACTCTGTGAAATGAATACATGTGGAGTGAATGGGTAGGAGCCTTATAAACTCTGAGTGCTCGGGGAGCCCAGAGGAGGGGCATCTAGCCAGCCTGGAGAGGGACCCAGGGGGGCCTGCTGGAATGGGCAGGGGTGAGAGCAAGCCAGCAGGCTGAGTGGGCAAAGCGCCCCGGGCGGAAGGAACAGCGTGTGTGGAGTCAAACGCACAGTCATGGAGGCACGAAGGGAGCAAAATTCAGAGGAAGACTGGAGGGCTGCTCAGTGGGGTGTGGAGGCCACTGAACGTGGGGCTGGAGAGGACCGCAGGAGGGCCAGGCTTGGATGCTAAGGCAAAGGTGTGGCCCCTGTCCCCAGGGCGACAGCGAGCCACTGAATGGTCTTAAGCAGGAGAGTGGCTGCTCAGACCACCTGCTAACGATGGTCACTCCAACCTCAGGGCTTCTGAAGAGTCTGGGTCCAGCAGCAGGGAAACCCGTTAGCAGGTGATGCCACAGGGATCCAGGAAAAAGATGACAGATAGAAAGGGCAGTCAGACTAGAAAACGGATTGGTGAGGGGGTCAGAGTCCACGGGGCTCGGGGACTGAATGCACATGGGGGATTGGGGGCCAGGAGGGAGTCAAAGATACCGCAGCACCTGTACATGGCTTTCCAAATGTGTGGGTGGCTCGCTGTCCACCTGGTGCCTGGGAAGACAAGAGGAAGGAGTGGAAGCCACCATCCGTGTCCTCCAAAGACACAGAACCTAGCTGAAAAAAACAAAAATCCCAGAGGGTGCAGTTAGGTAAAACGACCATTGTGCATGCGCACCCCGAGCCAGACGGCTCTGAGCACTTGGCTTGGACTCATTCATTTCATCCTCACAGCTCCCTGGAGTTAGCACCTTTATTGTCCTGTTTTTAGTGATGAGGAAACCAAGGGCCAGGTCACTGGCCCAAGGCACCGCATTTCTTAAGTGGTGGAGTTGGGAGTCAAACCCGGGCAGGCAGGGACCCCTGGCTCCTGAAGACTGAATAAGTCCTAGCCCGGGACCAGTGACAGGGCCCTGCACGCTGCGGTGCCAGGGGGCTGTGGTTCACAGATCTGCCTCCCCACTGGCAGTGCTCCTGCCAGAGGGAAGTTCTTGCCCACCTGTCATTGTCATCCTGGGCTAGGTGCACAGCAGGTGCTCATTACTGCCCAAGGCCGTGGCCCCTCAGAGCCTGGCAGGGGAGACTCAGACACTGCTGATGACTAGGAAGTGGCTCCTCCTCCAGAATGCACCTCATGCCCCAGGGAGCCTGGCCAAGGGCAGCGACATAGGTCTTGCCCTGGGTCAAGCATCAACTCACATCTGTGCCAGCCAAGTGCCCAGTCACCATTCCTGCAGTGAGGCCATTTGAATCTGTGTGCCGACAAAGCACAGCAGCTCACAGGCCACAGGCGACTGCGCTTCTCCCGGGGACACGTCTGGGCTGGGCCTGGCTCCCTGAACTCTCAGCTGCGAGAGCCCGGAGGAGGGGTCCCTGCCAGCCCAGGAAGGGTCAGTGGCCAGACCCAGCCAGGCACAGGTTCCAGCACAATGAGATCCAACCCCTGTGATTTTCCTGTCTAGGGGTCTGCATGGGGCAGGGTGGCATCAGTGCCAGTCCCCAGTGGTGGCAGAAGTGGGACAGCAGCTGGGCCTTAGCAGGGGGCAGGTCTCTGGGGTGGCCACGGGGCTCAGATGTGCTGGTGGGAGGGTGGTAGTAAGGAAGGCACAGCCTCTGGCAACCGGCTTAGTCCAGGTGACCCTGGCTGGTGGAGGCAGGGGCCACTCGCCGATGAACAGTTTGGGATGCTGAGCCGGGGTCAGGCAGCAGAGTCCACATGCTGACTGTGCCATTTACCAAGGAAGCCATGACCCTACAAGTCTCTGTTCCTCATCCATAAAATGCAACAAGTATAGAATGAGACAATGACCTTCCCTCCAGGACACGGGGCGGGAGGGCCTGGCTAGTGCGAGTGAGCAGGGCACAGGGTCCGGAGAGGAGCACGTTGCCCTCCCCCTTCAGACCCCCTAAGCCTTCCTGGCAGAGGTGACCACACATTCCTTTGGGGAGTTCAGCGGATACGAGGTTGGAATTTTTTAGGGGTTTTACTAGGATATTAAGAGGAAACAGGCACTTCTTTGAAGTCTGGGAAGCGTGGGGAGCATGGACTGGGGTTCTGGGTTCCCTGAGAGGAGCTGTAGCTCACAGACCCTGCGCCTCTGAACCTCAGCCCTGTGGGTGCCTGGCTGGGCCTGGGGGTCCTCAAATGCAACCTTGTGGCCCTTGGAGGCCTGGGTCTGGCCTTGGATGAGTAGGCCCTTCTCTCTCAGGCCCCTCCATTCCTCTCTGGGCCTTAGCCTTCTGTCATGTCTCCACACGGGTCTGTGGAGGTCCCAGGTCAGCTGCTGGAGGAGCAGACAGCCTGCCCAGTGGATCCTCAGGGAGCAGGTTTCCACCCTGAGGAGATGCCCCTGCTGAGTGTCTGGCCTCCCTCCACCCCTTCTTGTCCCCATGCTGCCCAGTGCCCAGACCACATGTCCATCTCCTGTCTTGGGCTCCACCCCTGCTGTGCACCCTCACTTGCTTGCCCTCAGCCCTGCGCTGGGCACCCCTCCCATCGTCTCTCCTTCCCTCATCTGCACTCTGACTCCTGGCAAGGGAGCGGACAGCCCCACCCAACCTTGTTCCTGGCCCTGCCTGAGCCTCAGTGACAGCATCACCAATCGTGTGTGCAGGAGGGGCCTGGGGCCTCCCACGACAGAAACTAGCTCAGTGAGCACCTACTGTGTGCAGGGTCCTGGGCTAGTGCTTTGCATTCCTTCTTCCATGACACTGTGGACATCGGCCCCATTATGGGAGTTATAGTTCCAGAGTGTAGGCCCTTTCTACTGTAGCACACACCCCATGAGCGCAGGCCTTGCAGTGCACGGGGTAGTAATAGTCAAACAGCTACCACCTACTGAGCGTCAATTGTGGGCCAGGTGTAGGGCTGGGTGCTTTTCACTCCTTCTGCTATCTAAGATCCTCAGAAGCAGGTACTACTAGTCTTAGCCCCATACTACAGACTAGGGGACTGAGTCAGACGGAGGGTGACTGACCCAGGATCACGCAGGTACCAAGCGGCGGACCTGAAGCCTCATGTCCTTCTGATTCTCCCCAGGTGCCTGGCTCATCTTCTCCAGCCCTTGTGCCCAGGGCAGATACCAGTAGGTTCTAAGAGCCCACAGGGGCTGCAGCAACTCTCCTCAAGGCCCAGCCTGATTCTTAAAGACACCAAAGCTAGGGAAGGCTGTTACCCTTATTGCTGCTCTGGGAGGTACAGACCATGTGTGTCCTACACACACACAGAGCAGGGCCCCCGTCTTGCTGACCATGGTCTCCATCCTGGATGGCCTGCCTTAACCTTCCATCTGCCCCCTGCTGCCTCTGCCGAGGGGCCTCCGGTCCTGTCATCTTGCTGTTGCTCCAGGACTCAGCCTGTCCTTCACCTTTTGGACCTGTTATCAGACCAGCCCACTTGACTGCCTCTTCTACCACAATTCTGGCCCATCTTGAGCTGCATGTCTTGTGACTTCTAGACACCCACTGCAGGACTCCTTCTCACCCCCCTTCTCTTCCTCCTCTGCCCTTTTCCCTCTGCACCCCACTGCCATGCCATGCAGACTCCTTCTCCACCAGGAGAGCCTGGGGTTTGCCGCCACGCTGGGCCTCTCCGCTCCGAGACAGCAGGAGAACCCGGAGTCCTCACACCACCACCCCTGCCCCGGGCCCCTCATTTCCAGCTGGGGGAAGTGGAACGAGCTCCCCGGGATGTGTGGGTCTCCTCCCACACTGTTTTACTTCCAAACCACTCTTGTGAGGCATTTCTAGTGAATACAATTCCCCACTTCATTACACAAGTAATGCAGGGTGGCTGGACAAAGGGTACATGCTGGGGATTACCAGGGGATCAGTCCAGACCGGCAGGCAGGGGTCAGAGCGCAAGGGCTTCATAAATCTGCGTTAATAGAGCCTCTCTTTACCTGAAGAGCAGGCCAGTGAGTGCTTTAGTCAAGACAGGAATCCGATTTGAGATGCGTTTGAGAGAGCGTTTTAGAGAGCCCTTCAGATCTGAGCTCATGCAAATGCTGATGGGGAGGAGTCAGGAGGGGGCGAGGGAGGCTGAGGATGTAGGAGGGAGCAGGTGGGAGCCACAGAGCCATGGCCCCATGGAGGAGAGGGCATGAGGTCCCCGAGGACGTAACAGAGGGACTGGCTGTGGACGAGTGAGGTGGGGAGGGGAGAGCAGGGAGCCACAGGCTGCAGGCAAGCTGGCAGGGGCTGAGGGAGGAGGCGGGGCACAGGCCTGGCGGTGACGGCACAGTAGACTTTGTAAGCCATGGAACCGGCCACCCACCCTAGAGGAAAGCAGTCATTGCACAACCTCAGGTCAGGGACCCAAAGAGCCCCAGACAGCCCCGAGGAGCCCCCGGCCAGGCTGCGAGGGGAGATGGTGCTTTGGAGTAGGAGTCCAGGCTCGGGTAAGTTAGGAGAACCAGGAGAGTGGGTGAGCTGGGCTGGGCTGGGCTGGCACTGCCTTGCCTTTGCGCAGTGGCACTTGATGTGTGACTCCGGGAAAACCGAAGGAGATGACCCAGTCTGTCTACACAGCGGACATAGTAACTAGGGGCCTCATCCTGGAAAACCTGTCTGACAGGTAAGACTAGGGCCTCCCAAGGGGAGGCATAACCCATGGAAGGCCCACGCCGTGTTCCACCCATGCACCCCTGAAAGGCCAAGAGCTGGGGGAGGCGGAAGATGGTCCTTGCTGCGTGGCCTTGGGCAAGTCCTAGACCCTTCCTTGGCCACAGGCTTCTCCCTGCCCCAGAGCTCTGCAACCTGGGTCTTCCAGCCCCCAGAGCTCCGGGGAAAGCCTCGAGGCCTTCAGACCCCTGTACGGCTGTATGGCCGTGGGGCGGGGCAGAGGGGCTGCCTAGAGACTCTGGTCCTCTGACCCCTGCTCGGGCAGTCCAGCTGGGGGTGGACGAGATCACTCATTAACTCAAACCTGTAATCGAAAACTTGTCAAAAACAGTCACAATTACCAGCAAGGCTCTCTGGAGAGGAAATTACATGCCCACTGGCTCTTTGTGTGGAGCTGGGGCCAGCCCTTTGCCCCCAGGCTGTGGAGTCACTGCCTTACCTGGCTCCCCGTGGCTAACCCAGCCCCTCCTCTCCTTCCAGCCAAAGCCCACCAGACCCGGAGCTCTTGGCTACTGACAGCCAGCGGCCCCGGGCAGCCTTCAGCCCCACGCTCCCCGCTCTGCGGTCCTCTGCCTCCTGTGCGGCTGCAGCATCTCCCCCGTGCTCCAGAGCACCAAGAATCTGAGAGAGCCACTGTGGGAGGGGGCAGGGGGACAGGAGTTTGGGGAGGCCCAGCCTGAAGCCGAGAGAGTGGGGTCTGGGCCCAGCTCAACCACAGGCTCTCTGGGACTTTGGTCAGGCCAGGGGCTGTCACTCTGAGGACCTCAGAGGCCCCCTCTGAAGATAACCACGACAAACATGACAGCAGCAGCCGTCAGCGCCGAGCACTTGCCCTGGGCCACACGCTGCTGGATACGCGAGCCGATCTGGTCCCCACACAGGTGGGCAATACTGTTGTCCCGATTTTAGTGAGCAGGAAATTGGGGCAAAACAAGGGAAGGTATCTGTCACTGGAGAGGCAGTCAGGAGTGTGGCCCGGGAGTCAGGCAGATCTAGATTTGAGCTCTGCTTTCTTGAGCCTCAGTCACAGCATCTGTGTAATGGGGGCAATGAACCCTTAGGATCAGAGTCCGATCAAGTATCCAGTGGGAGGCAGGAGCTGGTGCCCCTTATAGAGAGGTGCCCAGGGCCACCAGATCCCTAATCTGGTCCCTGGGCTCCTCCACAGGTGCCAAGGGGACATCTACCTAGGTGCGGGCCATCACGCCGACTATAACTGCTTGCTTCTGCATCTCTGGCCAATTCATCCGGCCTATGCCGTCCCCCAGTGCCACTGGCCACAGTCACCCACATCCCTTCCCTTCTTCGCCTTCTTCTTTCTGTCCTGGCACGTGGCCCTCCCTCTCCTCTTGACCTCCCTCCGTAGGCGCCCTGGGGCCCAATGGAGGACCTATGCCCGACCAGGCAGGAGTCAGGAAGGGCCTTCCAGGGAGGCGGAGTGGTATACACAGAGGCATGCTGCAGGGGGAGAGGCTGTCTGGGGGTTCCCAGGGGCTGCCTGCAGTGGAAAAGCGGGGTGCGGTGAGATGCATGGGATGGGGTCGGGCCACGGAGAGCATGGAAGCCCAGGGCGGCCCTGGCTCCGTGTGGCAGGACAGAGAACACCTCTGAAGGTGCCTGTGGGGAAAGGCCTGACCACGCTTGTTTGTGATGTAACAGCTCAGAAGGACAGACCCGGGTGGGTGGGGACAAGAGAAAAAAAGGAGGTGACTGTGTGGGCAGGAGGAGCCTGGGGGTCAAGTCTGAGGGGCATTTTGAAGGAAAAAGCCAGAGTTTGGGGACTTATGGATCAAGTCCTACTGGGGAAAAAGCCACCAAAGGGGTATAAAGAAAGGAAGGCTCAAACCTGAGACCCTGGGGCAGTCAGGGCGTCCAGGTCAGAGACCCCAAAGTGGTTCAAGAGCTCATTATCAGCGCGTCAAACCTGAGGATACATTGAAGACAGAAAAGGAATCTCCAGAAGGTAGTTGGAGCCAAAAAAGAGGAAATAATGAATGAGCTAAGGAAAATAAACGAAGTCTTTTGACCAATCACTACACGCAGGGCATCGACTTCCATGATCCAAATGCCATTTCTGTGCGAAGAAGCATTATTATTCTTGTACAGATGAGGAAATAGGCTCAGAGCAGTGAAGTAATGCCCGGTGTACACAGAAGGACCGAGAACAGGAATGGGACCTCTATTTGAAATCAGAATAGGAGCGCCTAAAGGGGGCGGGCCATTTTGCAGTGAGAGATATGGTCAGAGGGTCCAGGGTAGAGCCATGGAATGCAGCCCAGGATGGAACAGAGATGGAGCACAGAGTCTGGGGACAAAGTAAAGGTGGATGGATGGTCAGCAGGTTAGTCAAGAGCTCAGGCCCCTTCATTTTATGACTTGAGACAAGCCTCACCCACTCTGAGCCTCAAGAAGTTTCTAGCCAAAATGGGGATAATAATGCCTGCCACCCAGAGTGACACGTGCCTGATCCACAGAAGGGCTCACTGACTGGAAGCCACTGTCACTCTCATTCTCAGGGGGAGGAGAAGGAAGGCCAGGCCCTGCCTGGGGTGTCTGGGAGGAAGTCACGGATAATCTCGGCTCAGCAAGCTGGGAAGAATGTCAGGGCAGAAACAGGACCACCAGGCCAGGAGTGGGGCTGGCAGTGGTCCCAGGAGTCCTCCATGATCTGCTGAGCTAATGGGTCCACTCCCCGGGGGCCTCGCTAGAGCCCGTGCGGCCACAGAGGGAGCTCACCGCACCTCGGCCAGCCTGAAACCTGGCTCCCCTTCCCCAGCCCTCTGCCTCCTCCGCTCCTCTCTGCCCAGGGACCCTCAGGGACTGCTCAGGGCGAACAGATCCCAAAAGTACAGCCCGGCGCTGGGGAGAGTGAGGTCGGCTGCCCACTTAACAATCCCAAGACCCTGTGCTGCCCGGGCCCCACCCCCACCCCAACTAGCGGAGTCGGTCCTTCTCAGGGAGAATCCAAGAGTCTTCAGACCTTAACCTTAGCCCCCTCCCTAGGCTGCCCCTGGAACACAGCCCAAGGAAGGCCAGGGTGGGCATGCAGGACTCTCCAGCTGTCCCACCTAGAACACACTGTCCCTTCCCCAGGCCCCACCTGCCTTGGCCAAGGGCCCAAGGCTCCTAGCTAAGGAAGACACCCAATGATAACAAGCAGCCCAGGTGGGGGGGGTGCGGGGGAAAGGCTCTTCTGGGAGGGAAAGAAGAGAATGCTGGAGTTTGTGCCAGCTGCAGGCAGCCGAGGTGCAAAGCCATGCCAAGTTTGAATTCCAGGAAATCTGCAGTACGGCAGCTGGGGTTTCTGGGCCTCCCAACCCTTAGCCCTGGAAGCTGATGTTCTTCTTGCCTGTCAAAAAGTGCTTCAGGGGCTGTCTTGTCCCCTCCTGGTGCAAGCCAGGAGCTCTGTCCTCTCAGTGTATCTCTCCAGTAAAAGCCTCTCCCTGGCTCTCCTACCCTTGGGTGTTTGCTAAGTTCATTCTTCGGCTCCACAAACAAGAACCCCCGGCATCATCTTTGGGGGCTCGTCTGGGATAGCTTCGGAGGTGGTGGCTAACACTGTAGCAGCGTTACCTGACATCAGTGAATCTCACCCAAAGAGCAACTTACTGATCTGAACCACAGAACATTAATAAGCTTCTGACAGCCCTGAGTGAGTGCAGCAAATGGGGCCAGATTTTCATCCTGGACTGCCTGTGTATTACAACCCTAAAGATGACCAGGAGGCTCAGAGCATCTGTGAGCAGCTAACTCCCCGACTATCTCATGGCAACTCAGTGGTGGTGCTTTCAGCAGTAAAAGTCCTAATGAAATTTCTAGAGTTGTTACCTAAAGATTCTGACTACTACAATATGGTGCAGCCTGAATCTTGAAGCAGGAAATCAAAGTCTTCTTTATGAAATACAATGACCCTATCTATGTTAAACTAGAGAAATTGGACATAATGATTTGTATGGCATCCCAAGCCAACATTGCTCAGGTTCTAGCAGAACTGAAGGACTATGCCACGGAGGTGGATGTTGACTTTGTTCGCCAAACTGTGCGGGCCATTGGAAGGTGCACCATCAAGGTGGACGTCCAGACAGATGGGCTATGTTTTCTTCCTATTGTCTGAGACAGAGAAGAACTGAGGACTGAAGCATGTCATCACTGTATCATTTCATCCTGAATGTATGAAATTCTAACAAAGCAGGCAGTGAAAATAAATTTAAAATAGGACAAACTCTGAATCTATCCATGTTGGAATCCCAAGGCAGGCAGGGAATACTGGTTCTTTGGAATAAAGTAGTCAAAGATATAAGCAGTGACCCAGACCCTGTCCATCCAGCATGCTCAAAGTACTTGGGGATGGAGTAACCCCCTTTCCCTTATTCATCTACACAGGTCCTTGAGCCATGAGAAGATGACTTTGCATGTGAAGCTCCTATAAAATGAGAGATTTGACTATTCACATTCCCAGACGTTTGGATTTCACAGACCAGTAAAATGTCAAAAAAATTAAGACTATGATAAGACTTTCAACTTTCTACTTTAATGTCAAGTATTAAAACAGCTATTCTCTATCAGCATTTCTCCATAAAAGTTTTTTTTAGTATTGAAATTGAAGGAAGGACATACTTGTAGGATAAGATGGAATAGATTATATGAACATTTTTTTCTTTTAACATTCTAGGATTAAAATAAAGATCTTGAGGGTTTATTTTTTTAAAAAGTGCTTCAGGTGTGGGGGGAGCCGCTGTGACGTGATTCTGGTCCCCAGATGGATACCAGAGGCTGCACGCTAGGTGGTGGGGAGTCCTTGACGGCCCCGAAGACCCACCAGCAGGCAGTTGTCTCCAATGGCAAGGAGGAGGGAGAGACGCTCGCGTTAGAGGGAGGGGCCGACAGGGATCACCGTCTGGTGCAGGAATCTGGGCTCCGCTCTTGGGCTGTGCCCTCCTCTTGCCCCTGTTTCCCCTGCTCACAAGCCAACATGATGCCCTAAGCCATCTACTCTAGAGGCACCAGGCCTGCACCTCCTTCTCATCTTCCTCCTGCCCTCCTGCTGGTCAGTAATGGCGCCTTCCCTTTCCTCTGCCCCAAGGAGCTCACACTCAACCTGCAGAAGGAGATCTCCTTGGCCAAGACCAATCACAGCATCACTGACCTGTTCTGGACGCCCATCCTGTGCCTTGTGACCTTCTGTCTTGCCCCAGCCTGGTACCCCAGCACACCACCTGCTCACACCCCAGACGGGGGGCATGAACGAAGCCTCCAGTGGGCTCACCTGAAAACAAGGCTAAGGGCACCTGCAGGAGGCCACCTCCCCTCTCCCGGGCCGGCCCAGCCCAGCCCCAGTCCCAGAACCCCCTGCGTCCTGCCTCACACCCAGGTCCAGACTACCAGGTCTGCATCCCTCTGGGGTCACATCCACTCCACCCACAGGGCAGGTGTTCCAGAGCCCTTCCCCAGCTCACATCCCTACCACGGCAGTTTGCCCATGTTGGACCTCTCTGTCACTGCCCCCCACTGCCCATCTCTACCCTCTAGAACCCCACAAAGCAAGGCTGGTCATCAGGCCTTCAGACTTGAAGACAGACCTCATGTTTCTCTGGCATGTTTTCTAATGTCTGACGTTCTGCAGCTCCTTCAAAGTCCTCTCTGCGACCTGGTTCTGAGGCCCTGCTCTGTGCTGGCCATCCCCACGTGAACAGGGCAGGAGGCCATCCCTAATCAGTTCATCCAGGAACTCTTCAAAAGAGGAATTCTGAGAGGCAAAGGGGTGGCATCTGACCCATGTGGGCAGCTTGACTCTCACCTCCCCCATGCTGGGTGCTGAACTATTACCCAGCAAAGAGAGATCATTCACTCCTCATTGGGTCTCTGAGAGTACCTCCAGGCCTGATTTTCTCTGGAGTCATTTATGTGGCATCTTTGCCACCACAGCCTAGGCCATGCCCAGGTCAGGCATAAGCAATCAACCACAGCACCTTCTCACTGAGCCCAGACGCATTCTCGAGACCTCAAATTAGTACACAGGCAACCCCTACCAATCATTACAGTTGGGCCAAGAAATGAAACTGTTCGTCATGCTGCTGACCCAATGACCAGTACGCGGAGAGGCCCCAGCCTGACTGCAGGTGCTAATCAATCCCTCTCTGTTCTTCAGATTTTCCACCAATTTTGCCTACTATAATTTGGCTATGAGTGTGGAAGAATTTGGAGTCAACATCAATTTCCTCCAGCCCATCTTTGGTGAGGTGGATATCCAGGCCAAGTTCACTACCATCTGGACTGGCGCATTACCCAGGCCGCTGCTCTACTCGTGGCAGGAGGGTCCATCCTGGCTCTCATCTTTGTGCCCTTGGGTGAGAAACTGGGGCTAGCCCAGCACCCTCTGACAGGGCCTGATCCATGCAGGCCAGCATGTCCACGGGACTCACGGGCTGGGAGGTGGGATGTCAAGTCTCCAGTTCTGCTGATCCGGTCTCCGGTTCACTGTGTTACTCTGAATAGGTCCCTACGTTCTCTGGGACTCAACCATCTCATCTAGAAAATAGCTTAGTTGAGCTAGATGACCTTGAAGGTCCTTTCCAGATCTGACTCAGGCTGAGCAAAGTATGGTGGGGCCTGGACAGTGTGAAGACTTGCTCAGGGATTGGGCTTGGCTGGGTGACATTGCTGCAGAAGACAAGCTGGGATGGGGAAATGACAGAGCCCAGTGCTTAAGGAAGGCCCCACAACCTACTCCACCCTGAATTTGCAAAAGTCACGTTTCTTTTATACAGATGTTTGTGGGTGGATACCCCTACATCCTTCCAAAGCAGTTTGAGGTATTTTAGGACAAGAACATATACCACACAATGTAAATGGGAATAGGGAGCCAGAGCCAGAAAAAACACAAATGCAGCAGGACACACATCTGCAAAGCCCTAGGAAGAGCAGAGGGGCTATCGCTCAGCTTTAAGGAAGGGTCTGAGCTCTCCAGCAGCCCAAAGCAAAGGGAATGAGCTCTGCTGAGAAGTGAGAACATTCAGGTGCCTTCAAGCCACAAGAGGCACCGCATTTCTTTCCTCCTACGGACATGCAGACCCTGAGGGCAGCACTGGCTGTGCTGGGGAAGGGATGCCAGCACCCTCCCCGCTGCCCCAGGCTGCTTCAGCTGCCTCTTGCATCTACCCATGCCTCCCACTGTTATCTAAGAGGTGCTGGGCCTGGCACCAGCCCAGCCAAAAGATACAGGGTCAGGTGGGCTGTGGCATCTTCCTGCCCCCTGCCCAGGGGTCTCAGAGCTGTCTTTCAAGAATCCCCCACTCAGGCTGCCAATCCCTGCTCTGAACTTTCCCAGACAAACAGGTATGGGCATAAGCACTGCGTGGACCCGCGTGGGAGCCTGACAGACCCGCTGGTGAAGATCACAGGCAAGTGGCAGCCCCGCGTCCCCAACACCATCTTTGGGACCATCGCCCTCTTGGGAGGAAGTGCCACCCTCTTCCTGCCTGAGACCCTCAATCAGCCAACGCCAGAGACTATAGAGGACATGGAAACCTGGTCAGTCGCTCTGGCCCCGCCGGTACTCCTCCCTGGGGAAGCAGGTCTGGGCCCCAGCTTGTCCTGAGCTGTCTTGCCCTAGGTCCCTGTGGGCAAAGGAGCTGAAGGAAGAACCAGAAGCAGGAGAAACATCCCGTAGGACCAGGCGTGGGCCCCAGCCGAGGACAGCAGAGCCCCATTTTCCCACCCTCCAGAGGTCAGTCCTGGCCAGGTCCCTGCTTGCCTGCCTCTGGGCTCCTCAGACCCCTTAGGAGGTCCTGGGAAGGTCCTTACCCCCCAAAATCTTCGGAGTGCTTGCTAAAGGCATCTCCATGCCGACCAGAGCCCCCAGTCCTGGCCAGTTCAAAGGTTCAGCCTTCACCCACACCCCTCCCCTTGCCCACATCCGCCCTGTAGCCCAGGCCCAGCCATTCTTCTGTCCAGCCCTTCCCCACTGGCCACTGCCCCCCATTGTTCCAGCCCAGTTCCCCTAAGGTCCCCTGGGATCAATCCTAACAAAGACAGCCTCCACTTTTGCTCCCCAGCCCTCTCTTCAATGGGAGGCCTCAATGAGCACAACAGAGAGCTCAGGCCCTGCTGCTCGGCATAGGGGTGGGGAAGGGGGAGGCCCCCGGGCGGACACGTGAGCTGCACATCCATCTGTCCACACGTGCATGTACGTGCGGGTACAGGCGCATGCAGACAAGGCTGATGTGAACATGAGCAGGCCGAGGTGTGTGTACACCAAGCCTGTAACAGTCCGCTTGGGCCGCTAGAACAACATGCCACAGACTAGATCACTTAGTCAACGACTCGCTCCTCACAGTTCTGGAGGCTAGGAAATCCTAGATGCCGGCCACCTCAGTGCTTGCTGGGGGCCCCGTCCTGGTTGCAGACAGCTGCCTTCTCCCTGCGTGTGCCCTCACATGGCAGAGGGAGACATGGTATCTCCTTGTAAGGGCGCTGATCCCAGCATGAGGGCCCACCCTCACGACCTCCTCTGACCCTGATCACCCCCCAAATGCCCCATCTTTAAATGCCGTCACACTGGAAGTTAGGGCTTCCACATATGAATTTGGGCAAGGGCACAATGCAAACCATAGCAAGTCCTGTGCTAGGACATACCACATACATATCTACATGTCCAGCGTGTTTGTGAACAGATGACAGAACAAACCCAGGGTGGCTACAGACAGAAGCTGGGTTTCCCCAGCCCTGATCCCCCTCCTCCCTTGCCTCAGTCTTTGATCTTGTGTCTAGTATTTTCACTGTAAGCATTTTCACCACAAACATTTTTACCGCATAATTAATTGGCTGTAAGGCAATTTTGCTGTAAAAGATAAAATAGTTGGTTATCAGTTTGGTTTCATTTCTCCATTGGCAGAGTTCACATTCTTACATAAATCATAGCTGGCCCTCATAATGGTCTGTACCGTGAGAAGTCTCAAAATAGTGGGTGATAACAACTCTTTATGGCAACTTGATAGCAAATACAGTGATAAAATTTACTGGAAGTGTGAAATGAAAGAGTACAGAGTCAGATTGCACACTATATTGAACCAGAAAATGATTACATATCAGATACAACAATAGCAAAGCTCAGTTAGAAAGGCCTTGCAGCGTTAGCATTTCTTCCACATTTCCGTAGAACTTTGGACTGTCTATCAACAGACATGTGATCATATGCCAAGAATGAACAACGTGTAGCAGGAGGCTTTCACAATGCACCACAAAGCTCAGTTACAAATAGGCATCCTAGTATCTGGAACACTCTGAAGGAAGGAAGAAACTAATAATTAGCTTTATTGATTTTTCTCATGTTTCATTATGTCCTTTTTAATGTTCCTCTTTTCTTTTTTCCTTATTTATTTTTTTGTTTTTTAATTTAGTATCATTAATCTACAACTACATGAGCAACATTGTGGTTACTAGACTCCCCCTATCATGAAGTCCCCACCTCCTACCCCATTACAGTCACTGTCCATCAACGTAGTAAGATGCTATAGAATCACTACTTGTCTACTCTGTGTGGTACAACCCTCCCTGTGCCCCACCCCTAGTTTATGTCTGCTAATTGTAATGCCCCTTTTTCCCCCTTGTCCCTCCCTTCCCACCCATCCTCCCCAGTCCCTTTCCCTTTGGCAACTGTTAGTCCATTCTTGGGTTCTGTGAGTCTGCTGCTGTTTTGTTCCTTCAGTTTTTTTCTTTGTTTTTATACTCCACAGATGAGTGAAATCATTTGATACTTGTGTTTCTCTGCCTGGCTTATTTCACTGAGCATAATACCCTCTAGCTCTATCCATGTTGCTGCAAATGGTAGGATTTGGCCTCTTCTTATGGCTGAGTAATATTCCATTGTGTATATATACCACATCTTCTTTATCCATTCACCTACTGATAGACACTTAGGTTGCTTCCATTTCTTGGCTATTGTAAATAGTGCTGCAATAAACATAGGGGTGCATCTGTCTTTTTCAAACTGGGCTGCTGTATTCTTAGGGTAAATTCCTAGAAGTGGAATTCCTGGGTCAAATGTATTTCTATTTTGAGTTTTTTGAGGAACCTCCATACTGCTTTCCACAGTGGTTGAACTAATTTACATTCCCACCAGCAGTGTAGGAGGGTCCCCCTTTCTCCACATCCTAGCCAACACTTGCTTGTCTTTTGGATGGTGGCCATCCTAACTGGGGTGAGGTGATATCTCATTGTGGTTTTAATTTGCATTTCTCTGATGGTTAGCGATGTGGAGCATCTTTTCATGTGCCTGTTGGCCATCTGAATTTCTTCTTTGGAGAACTGTCTGTTCAGCTCCTCTGCCCATTTTTGCTTTTGTTGGTTGAGGTGCGTGAGCTCTTTATATATTTTGGATGTCAACCCTTTATCGGATATGTCATTTATGAACCCATATTGTAGGATGTCTTTTTGTTCTATTGATGGTGTCCTTTGCTGTACAGAAGCTTTCCAACTTGATATAGTCCCACTTGTTCATTTTTGCTTTTGTTTCCCTTGCCCGGGGAGATATGTTCATGAAGAAGTTACTCATGTTTATGTCCAAGAGATTTTTGCCTATGTTTTTTTCTAAGAGTTTATGGTTTCATGACTTACATTCAGCTCTTTGATCCATTTTGAATTTACTTTTGTGTATGGGGTTAGACAGTGATCCAGTTTCATTCTCTTACATGTAGCTGTCCAGTTTTGCCAACACGAGCTGCTGAAGAGGCTCTCATTTCCCCATTGTATATCCATGGCTCCTTTATCATATATTAATTGACCATATATGTTTGGGTTAATATCTGGAGTCTCTATTCTGTTCCACTGGTCTGTGGGTCTGTTCTTGTGCCAGTACCAAATTGTCTTGATTTACTGTGGCTTTGTAGTAGAGCTTGAAGTTGGGAAGTGAGATTCCCCCCTGCTTTATTCCTTCTTCTCAGGATTGCTTGGCTATTCGGGATCTTTTGTGGTTCCATATGAATTTTAGAACTATTTGCTTCAGTTCATTGAAGAATGCTGTTGGTAATTTGATAGGGATTGCATCAAATCTGTAGATTGCTTTGGGCAGGATGGCCATTTTGACAATATTAATTCTTCCTAGCCAGGAGCATGGGATGAGTTTCCATTTGTTAGTGACCTCTTTGATTTCTCCTAAGAGTATCTTGTAGTTTTCAGGGTATAAGTCTTTCACTTCCTTGGTTAGGTTTATTCCTAGGTATTTTATTCTTTTTGATGCAATTGTGAATGGAATTGTTTTCCTGATTTCTCTTTCTATTGGCTCATTGTTAGTGTATAGGAAAGCCACAGATTTCTGTGTATTAATTTTGTATCCTGCAACTTTGCTGAATTCTGATATTAGTTCCAGTAGTTTTGGAGTGGAGTCTTTAGGGTTTTTTATGTACAATATCATGTCATCTGAAAACAGGGGCAGTTTGACTTCTTTACCATTCTGGATGCCTTGTATTTCTTTGTTTTGTCTGATTGCCGTGGCTAGGACCTCCAGGACTATGTTGAATAACAGTGGGGAGAGTGGGCATCCTTGTCTTGTTCCCGATCTCAGAGGAAAAGCTTTCAGCTTCTCCCTGTTAAGTATGATGTTGGCTGTGGGTTTGTCATATATGGCCTGTATTGTGTTGAGGTACTTGCCTGCCCTCTATACCCATTTTGTTGAAAGTTTTTATCATGAATGGATGTTGAATTTTGTCAAATGCTTTTTCAGCATCTATGGTTCTTGTCCTTTTTGTTGATGTGGTGGATGATGTTGATGGATTTTCAAATGCTCTTTTGTTTTTCATTATTTTATCTTTTATGGCAAAATTGCCTTGGGGACAGTTAGTTATATGGCAAAGTGCTTTCTGCAAAGATGTCTACAGCAAAGATTTTACACTGAAACACCTAGAACCCTCTGATCCGTGTCCCAGCCCCATGCCCACTAGACAGCTTTGTCTCCCATTAAACAGAGAAAATGGCAGCCACAGCTGAACGCTGTCGACGTCTGCCATGCTCCCAGATTCTCTCCAGCCACAGCAGGAAGGCCAGTCCTGCAGCCATCCACTTTCCCCCTTGGATCTCTGCCCATTCTCTCCTCCTGGCTCCTTCCTATCAGCAGTTAAATAAGCTCAAGCCTCTTCTATCTTAACAAAAACCAAACAAATAAACCCTCTCTGGATGCTGTGTCTCTCTAGGGGGAACACATTGTCTTTCTGTCTCCCCTTCACAACCAAACTTCATAAAGAAAATGCCTGCCTCCCCTACTTCCCCTCTCTAACCTCATCACCTCCACACTGCCCTCCCGCTCTCACCCCTCCCCTGAAACTGCTTTCACGGAGAGCGCTCATCACCCCTGTGCTGGGTCGCTTAGCCCTCCCTTCCTGCCTCTCAGCAGATTGTGTCCTACTGACCACACCCTCCTTCCTTGGTTTCTGAGATGCCCTGTGCTTGCAGTGCCCTCCCATAGGCTGGCTGCGCCCTTTGGGGTTTCCTCCAAATGCTACAGTGGTCACTTTGCCTGTCCTGCCTGTCACCCCTTCCTCAAGGGTCTACAGCCCCAGAACCTGCTAACTGAACAGTCACAAGACCCTACACCTCTGGTCTTGACTGATGGGCCCATACAGCACCCCTGGTCCAGACCCCATAAATCCCATGATCTCTCCTGGGCTGAAATTTGAGTCATGGAGGTTCTAGTCTGTCCCTGGGTCATTTGTCCTAGGAAGACAAGTTTGCGTGAGGGTGGGCTGACCCAGATGCAAACAGCAGAGAGAGTGAGTTGCAGAGAAAGAAAAGAAAGAGGAGACATCACGGGCACAGATAAAGATAAAAGAGCTGGTGACACTGTTTGCATTGATTCTTTATAATGCCAGGTCTCAGACCCCCTCAACCCTGGGTGCGCTCTCCGACCCTGGGTTCTATTCATGTTCTGAAATCTCTGAATAAATTCTTCCTTTTGTTTAAGCTAAACTCCAGGGTTTCTGTTCTTTGTAACCAAGCAGTTTCCAAAGTAGCTCCTTCCCTCTCTCATCTCATAAGCACTACCATTCCGCAGAACTCTTTCCAAGGACCTCGTTCGCTGACACTCTACCACTCTACCAGCACTGTCCAGTGGAATACCACACATGCCACTTATGCAATTTAAAAATTCATAGTAGCTTATTTTTTAAGTTTAAAAAGGGGGAAAATATTCCTTGGATATGCATTTGATTCTGTATCATAAATATCACACTTTTGGCTTATACTTTAGAAGTTGGAAATCAATAAAACATGAAAGGCAAATCATGATACAGCCCAGGGCTACGTCTAAAGTCCTTAGAGTTACCATTATATTTTCAACATGACCAGGGGTATAATTGACGAAGTGAATATAATATTACTTAGTAACTGATATTCTTGCTTCCTTGGCATACTTTTTGCTGACATCCTGTTGTTAAAATTAACCATGTTTTAGCAGGCATGTTTCTCTGAAGTTTGTTTTTAATAAGTGAATAGTTTTCACACACACACACACACAAAGGGTGAAAATAATTTCATAATATCTTTTATTTAACCCAATATATCCATATATTATCATTTCAACATACACTCAATATGAATGACATGTTTTCCAGCCTTTAATTCAAACTAAATCTTCAAAATCTGGTATGCATTTTACCCTAACAGCGTATCTTAATTCAGACTCAATTCATGCATTTGATAGTAGCTCGTGGCTACCATATCATACAACTCAGATACACGCCAGGGCTTCAGTTATCAGCCACAGAGCTAATCACTCTCAAATCTGTATCCAGATATGTGAGAGAGAGCTTAATGAGGATGAGAGAGATCATACTGGATCCCTTCTTCAACTTTTTGGTGACTTCCCATTGCAATGAAGTCTAAACTTGGACCTCAATGGCTTTGGTTTCGAACACCCTCTACGGTGAGGTTTGCACCCTGAAATACAGCCTCACTCCACCTCTTTCAGTTCCTGATCTGCACCCCCACCTCTTACCCTGCCCTTCATACATGCCCAGCATTTGACCTCTCCTCATCCCATCCCCAATGACCCCCACTGCACTTGGCTTAGGGTCAGCCGACAGTGGGGCCACCAGTGCCTCCCCTTGGCTTGGCTGGGTCTCCACCAGGAGCAAGGATTGGACTCAGTGGGGAACTAGCCCCCTCTCCCCACTCCTATACTTCAGTTGTCCAGAATTCAGGGCAGCTCCCAGGATGTCCTGGCCATGACCATTCCTGTGCTGTTTCAGGGTGTTTACTGAAAAGACACACAGGAAGGGAAGAGAAAACCCCCAGGGAAGCACCTCCCAGTCACAAGGTCAGGACCCCTGGTGAACTGGGATGCCGGGCAGGATGTATTGC